AGAAATAAAATAAAAAATGAGGGTACCACAATAATAACTTTTATTTTTATGCATCAATATACGAATATTGAGATGTTCATTCCCTATATGAAGATTTTCAAGCATTTATTAAAACTTAATTAAATACAATATTATACATTGAAATTAGAAATTATTGGTTTGTATTTTATTATCATTTTATTATACAAATAAGAATAAATTTGAAATTTTCTTATAATATCATCTAATTTAAAAATAAAATTTATGACTAACAAAAAAAATACATTGCATAATTTATAATGTAAATAAATTAATACATTGAGTAATTAGATTAATTGTTAATTACAATATTATAATAAACGTGAATAAAAAAACAAATGTACAACCTTCACCAATAAATAAATCTAATATATGATAATTAATGTTGATAGAAATATAGAATTTAGTGACATAAATTTGCAATCATATTTTAATAAAATTAGAAAAATAAATAAAGAAATTCATATTTGCAATGTGGGATAATTGATAAAGCAACCTGAAATAAATTCTGAAGTGGTATGAGCTAGTGTTATTTTTCTATCTTAAAATATCTCATGAACTAGTATTTTTTTTAATGTTTAATAAACCAACATTAGTATTATTTTTTGCTTTTGTTTTAAATATCCTATGAGCTAGTACAACAATTTCATATAATTATGTTAATTTTTGTAAATTATTATATAGAATTTTATTTTGGTAATTATATGTAATTAAAGATTAATTATATGTATTTTATGTATATTATAAAAAAGAAATAAATAGAATTAATTTAAATCTTAGAAATAAATAAATATAATTAATCTGAAAAGAATTATAGACCATTTCATTTTATAGATGTTCTTGTATAAGAGAGATTTATTTATAGAGCATTTAATTTATAACGTACTGTTCACTGTAGCAAATCGAACTGTTTAGTGTAGCAAATCAAACTGTTTAGTGTAGCAAATCAGTAGCTTTGGAATTTTTTTTCAAAATTGAGGGCTCATGTTGCCCACATTTTGAAAAAAATGTATGGCAACTAGTTTTTATTTTTATAAACTAGTATTAGTAATAATTTTTAATTTTGTAATATCCTATGAGCTAGTACTTTTTTTTTAATCCCTATTAACTAATATCTTAGTAGTAAATAATACCTAATATCCTAATAATATTAATCAATGCAACTATTGTATTACAAATTGCAAACACCAATATTTACTGCCCATTTTCTTCCCACAATTCTAAAATCTCTGTGGTCTCGCACATACAGCCCATTTATTAAAAGATTCTCATCAAGCATTTTTTTTAATCCGCGCTCTCTATAGTCTCATCGTAAACACCAATGGCAGATGTGGGACCATGTAGTTGTGAGATGTGGGACTATGTTACCCACTCATCCCAATTAATGTGCTGTAGGCTACGTGCATGCCTCATCTATTACCACACGGGTCATGTGCATGCCGCATTGTGTTGAATGTGGATGACGTCATTGTGTTGCGTGTGGATGACCTCAAGGTAAGTGGGATTTTTTTAATAGAAAAATGACAAGAAAAATGTTACAGACAAGTCTTCAGCGGCGATCTGTATCCACAGATCCGGCAGGATCCTGTTGATTTGAAACGGTATATCTGATCAGATCGACGATTTTTTAAACATTGATGCATCAGGGAACATAAATCTAATAATGTAGAACCACGTCCCTTGGGGCACAAAGCACTTTTGCTTTATGAATGCTGATAATTATCTTTCTTAAGTTATGCAAATAAAAAATAAATTTTTAATTTAATTTATTTATATTTTTGAGGACTTAGAAAGTATTTTTATTTAGGTTTTTAGTTTTTTGGGCTTATTTTTGTCTTCTTTTGGTTGTAGAGATTTGAAGGCTAGATGGATATAGATATAAATTAGTATGTTTGTTAGATGGATATAGATATAAATTAGTATGTTGTTAGATGGATATAGATATAAATTAGTATGTTTTAAGAGATAAGGGAGAAATTGAGTTAGTTTTCTATTTTTACTTTATATTTATTTATAATTTGTATTTAAATGAAAGTGGTCCTTTCTCTGTAGGGTAGTGATCGGAGAATAAAGAAAGAGTTGATTTTGTGAAAAGATCTTAGGGTGGATTTCCTTGCAATAGGGTGTAATCTCACAAACTTTTAATTTTATTTTTTATTTTTATTTTTCTGATTTATTATTTTTCTTGCATCACTACAAAACAATAAATAGCCTCACGCTTCAGTTTTCTAATATAATTTTATGTACAGATTTTATTTTTTAAATAAAAATGATACATGTCAGTGTAACGAACTTGAAAAATGAATTCCCTATTTCCAGGTAAAAATAAAAACTCCTCTATTTTTTCTGGAAATTTAGGCGACTTGTTTGTATTAAGAAATATAGATGCCCGTGTTAATAAGATTGGGTAACAATGGCCTGGAAAGGAAAGAAGATTTGGATATGGGATTGGTACATGTATTTAGGACTTCCCAATAACTTCTCTAAACGTTTAGAATGGATAGCTCCGCTCCCACTAAGACGGCCGGGCCGTCCTTCTCTTTAAGTTAGTTTTTAAGGAAGGGTTAAGTCTTAAAAATAACTCATGTAGGTTTTTCATGAAAACTTATTTTCTTTTCATCAAAGCTTATTTTTTTTTCAAATAAATGACAGAATTCGAAAGAATTCTATGCGCTTTAAGTTTTTAATATACTAGGCCAAATTGATTCTGGGAAAGTATTGGTCGATAGCCCCTCTAAAACCACCCCCTTCTATTTCATGTCCCTTTTGCTTTTCTTTTTTATTTAAGCTTGTCTTGTATTTTCTCAAATCCCCGTAATCCCCAGCCCATGAGCCCCTACTTTATTATCCTTCTTTTCTATCGGCCCAATCCAATCGCGATCCGACACGGAATATATAGGGTGGACAATCGGGTTTTCAAACATTGGATTTGGATGCTATTGTCAAAACTTGGCAAGTATTTTTTTTTTCCATATGCCCTATTTTGATTTTTTATTTTTTTTTTGTCTTTAAGATTTCCCTAACTGTAAGTTAAAACATTTTGCCAATTTTTGATTTATTTGACTTTTTGTTTTTATATTTATATTTAAAAAAATTCGAGGATTTTTTGGCCCTATACAATTTTCTATACAGTAGTTGGGCGAATCTAGTTGGACTTGCCTGAGTGGGCCCATTGGGCCAGGCCGAGTACTTGGCCTGAGGCTGGTTTTAAAACATTAGTATAAATTATAATTTATGCAAATATAGAGAGAGGGAGATGAAAAATGAATTTCTTTGAATTAATAAGGGCCTTATATTCCTGAATCAATTCAGGACTTATTTTGACTTATTTGAAATTTGAAATAATAAAGTAGAATAGCAATTTTTTGTGCTCTTATTTTTTTAAATAATATTTTGACTTATTTGAAATTTGAAATAATAAAGTAGAATAGGAATATAATAATCTCCTATATGTATTGATTTTTTTCCCCAGATTTTCCTTTCTTTGTAAAAAGGAGCATTTAATAAAATTAAAGGGTTTAAACAATGAATAATATCGTTGCCGCACAAGATTTCATGGGCAGTGATTAAGTTTGGGTCGTTGCGTCCACATGCTGCTGCGGACAGCCAAAAGTTGGACAAGCCCTTTTAATGGTTAGATTGAACCTGTACAAATTAATTTTATTTTTTATTTTTATTACTTTTAATTTAAAAATTATATTTATTTGAAATTTACTTCATTTTTATAAGAAGAATAAACTAAAAATAATTAAAGGTATTTTAAAAATTACCGACCAAAATAGATATTTGTATTTTAGTTATCTTTGTATTGAACTTACATTAAATTAAGGAACAAAAATAAAATATGAAATTAATCTTCGGCTATTCAATATGGCCTTCATACTTTTCTTTTAGGTTTCTTGAATTATGTTTAAAAAGATATGACAATTTAAATTTGGCCAAGCTTTCTATGCTTCCCTTGCAGCAAATAAGTTCTATCATCCCTTTTATCTAACCCTCCATTCTGATTGGAGGGTTAAGATTGTCCCAATCACAATGTCACACCTCTACACTAATTTTTTTTTTTATAAACTATTTTGACATCAAATTTTGGACGTTCATTCCTATATTAAACTCGCACAAGCGAAAAATAAAAAAAAAATATTTTCAATAAAATAAAATGACCAAAATACCTCTGAAAGTTTCAAGGGATATTTTGGTCATTATATTTTATCAAAAAATTATTTTTAATATTTTTTATAGGTGTGCCCCAATGAGAACATGACACATGCCAAATTTCATATTCACAATTTGTATTAAAAAAAACTAAAAATAAAATACTTTGAGACGTCAGATCTAAGATCAAACGGTGAGTGGCTCTCTTGATAAAATATGAGGAGGTAGATGGTAGGGGGAAGATAGTACTTCTATGTTATAGGGGAAGTATAGAAACCTTTCCTTTTAAATAGTGCTTTAGTTTATCCTGTAGGGTAAAATTTAGGGTTTTGCAGATCTTTTCCTTTTTTGTTACTTTTGAAAACTCAAGTTTCTTAATTGATAAGCATTCTATCGATCTCCATGGTTTTGAAGAGTAATAATAGTAAGTTTGCTTGCTTTTTTATTGAGATTGAGTTTAGCAGAGGATGGGATAAGTTTATCGCATGAGTATAGTAGTCGCATCTGGTCAAAGAGGTAGGTTCATTGGAATTTGAATTGAACCTTTTTTGACATAATAAATAAAGACGGGTGTGAATATTTTCTGTTCTCTTTTCCGTTCCAACATTGATAGGATTCACGGACCCACCCTCCTTTATACGCTGAAACATAGGCATTTATTTCCTAACTAATTGATGCTGAAACATAGGCATAGGCCTTATTACCAAGAATTTCTTTCCTAACTAATTAATTATTATACCAAGAATTTCTTTCCTAACTAATCATATTATTAATATGAATCAGAATCAATCACCATGTCTAACACCTATCTTTCTCTCATTTATCAGGGAAACACCAGTTGAACCCTACACCTACCTACTTGTTACCTGAAAATTCTAAATTCAAAGAGAGTAGAGGAGACATCAGATGAAAATGCAGAGAGCGTAATGGCAGGGAGGAAGAGATTGTTCCCTTGAAATCCTTATTCTTGAAGAACTTTCATGCCCCAAAAATAAGAGGTCAGTAAATAAGATGGATGAGGTTCCTACCCCTGAATTTCTCATTCGTGAAGGTCTTTCATACCCAAACAGGAAGAGATCGGCATCCAAAGGTGGAAGGAAGAGATGCGAACAGAAGAGATCAACAGGGACCGAGACCTTTATATATGTTATGATATTATGGAACGAATTTTATTGGGACTCCCTGTAAAAGCCCTTGGGAGGTTCAGATGTGTTTCTAAGCGATGGAATGAAGTCCTCTCCTCTCTCTCCTTTGTACGAACCCATTATCTTACACCTCCCTCACCATCCACTCCTTTGCTTTTGTTGTTACCATACCAGATTCTACACCGTCTTTGCTATATCTTCTTTCTCTTACCTTCTAAACTCAACTGAAACCCTCCCATCGTTTGAGTCATGGAGTCTGGCGTGCATCATGGTATGCTACTTGATTACAAGTTCTACTTTGGCTTTGACATTGTTAACCCTATCACCCTTGATTCTATGAGTATGGAGAAGACTTTCCAGTTCGAGAGTGGTTTCATGTTTGGATTCTATTACAACCCTGTGAGCACCACTTTTTATATATTGACGTACTCACTCTATTGGTTCCTATACTTATCAAGCACTGGAAAGTGGATGCAAGTGAGGTCTCCTCGCTGCCGTCGATGCTCTCTCACTCTCTTCTACACTGTTTTCACGTGCGTGCTCGGAAAATTCTACAATGTGTTCTGTGCAGAAGAATCTGGAGGGTATAGCATTGAGGTTTTTGACACAGCCATAGGGGAGTGGGAGGAACGCCTTCCATTGCCCACAGGAATCCCACGCCCTGATAACTCCGATTTTGGGTTTAGTTTCCTTGAGTGGGAGGGGCAGATATGTATTGTTCATGGCTGGTTTCATCAGGGAGATAGAAAAGAATGCAGATTGGGAATATGGGCTTTGAGGCCAAAGGAGAAGAGGTGGGAGAAAGTGATAGAAATGGGCCTTGGGAAAAAGTTGAAAAGTTTTGAGAGGGTTCTGTGGATCGCAAAATGCCGATGATAATGCATGGCGAGTTTCTCTTTATTTGCCGGCAAGGGACCATCGTGTTATTCAATTTGAGGAGCGGACAGAGAAGTGAAGTGAAGTGGAACACCAGAAAGTATGGGCGTTTACTCCGGCTGCTTCTTTACAAACCCTCACTGCATAGCTCAACACATCGCATACCTTGATGTGTTAGCAACATGTCATATGTGTTTTCTGTTTCCTCATTTTATTTTTGTTTATCCCTCCTTTTGAGGGATCTGATTCGAGTTGAATTTTTTATAGAGCTAAACTAAGTTAATTTTGAGGAAAGGTTGTCTTAAAAACAACTCATGCAGGCTTTTCATCAGAACTTAATTTTCTTTTCAAATAACAGAAGGAATTCGATGCGCTTTAAATTTTTAATAGATAATTTCACCTTTTATTTTGCCTATACTATTTATGAGTAACAGTTGTATAAGCGAATCAAAATTTCTAGCGTGTGGTTTCAAAGGAATTCGGTGCGCTTTAAATTTTTAATAGATAATTTCACCTTTTATTTTGCCTATACTATTTATGAGTAACAGTTAGTATTAGCTAATCAAAATTTCTGGCGTGGTGTTTCAATAAAGTCGCAACCTTAAACAATCCAATTAAGGTGCACCTCTAAATTATACCATTAATATAATTTTGACATAAAAAATTATTAGGATGACTTGAGAATCTATTTTTATCTCTAATTATAAAGCTGTAAACTCTAAAAAATGGTTCAAATCAAGTAGATCTATAAACATATGAAAATTTTAAAAATGGATGGTCTAAATAACGTGTTACAAGATATACTATTTGTTGGATTCAAATATTTTTTTCTTTTCATATTCATACATTTCGATGTCGACATGCAAGTAGATTTATAAACATGTGAAAATTTTAAAAATGGATGGTCTAAATAATTTGTTACAAGATATACTATTTGTTGGACTCAAATATTTTTTTCTTTTTATATTCATACATCTCGATGTTGACATGATCACTTAAAGGGCTTTTCAACATTTGAGATGCACTTCAAGGTTGTACCTTATATAAACTTTTTCCAAATTCCTAAAATATAGTTGTGTCAACTTTACACCCAAATTTCTAAAATATAGTTGTCAACTCTAATTTCTAAAATGTAGTTGTGTCAACTCTGCAAATTAGTGCATAACTCTTCAAGCGATTCAAAATCGGGCATATAGTCTTATTTTCATTGTTTAAATCAGTGTTATCGACATATTGAGATTAGGGAGCCAAATTACCTTGAGTTAGTCTATGCAACTTGGGTTATATTAAAAATTAGAAAAAATGCTAAAAAACTGAAATATGTGATCAAGAGTAATGATCCAATGTGTTTTAAAATATCTCATATTTTTAGGTTTTATTTCACAGTAGACTCAAGGTTTTAAAAGATATCTTGTGGCATAAAAATTGTAGATTTTATTTCTTTTAACCCCGTGAGCTAATTTAAACTTTTTTTTTTAGGCCAAATAAATCTAAAACGATATGTTTTTTCTAAAAGCCATCCTCCCAAACTTCTAGAGAGAACTTCTAGAGAGAGAAGGACTTCATGGAGGTGAGAGTTACCGGGAGAAGATTGAGAGTGAGAGATGTAGGAATAGAGAGAAAGAGAGAAGTTTGGGGTATATAAATGAAGAGAGAAATGATTGGGTTTAGAAAGAGCATGATTTCTCACTTTTGTTTAGGTTAAAAAATAGATTTAAAGTGGTAAGGGGGTTAGAGGAAATCTTTTGAACCTTGAGTTTATCAAGAAAAGAAACTTAAAAATAAGGGGTATGGAGATATTTTCCCTTCAAAAAAATTCCTAGACAAACTTGTAATCATCAAAGTCATCCCGAAACTACAATCGTATGGTTGGTTATAATATGTACTCGGTCGAGTTGCCTCGTTACAGCCTTTTATTTAACAACTTGTAATAATCAAAGTCATCCCGAAGCTAAAATCGTATGGTTGGTTCTAATATGGACTCGGTCGGGTTTCCTTGTTACAACCTTTTAATTTAACAATTTTTTGGATCAATAGTTGGTCTTCATCTATTTTAACACCCTCAATTTAATCACTTTAATACCAACTAATTTATGCTGGCCTTATTTCGATTCAAAATAAGCTTATTTGGATAAGTTTTTTAGTTTCAGCAAGATCTTTCCATCAAAATCTCATGACTTTTCAATCCTAAAAACCAAATCTTCCATTTGAATTTCTCTTTCAATTACTAATAAAATAAGTTGGAATTGTTTCAATTTGAAAGTGAGAGTTTAAATTTCTAAAAGTTTTTGAACTCAAAATTATAAATCTTCGATTTCTCTCTCTCTTGTTTTTCTGAACTCTTTCAAATTTGTCGCAAAATGTTCCTACGGCATACAGGAAAGGAGTCTTAATATATCATTTTTTATCATATTTTTTAATTTCTTTAAGTTATTTTTTAATAGCAAAATTTTCATTTATTTTTAACTATTTTTTATATGAGAAAACAATTGAATTCTTCCACTATTCTTGAAAAATATTATAAAATATATTTATAAGGAAATTTTCTTATATTTTAATTTTGAATATTCTTTGTTTTCAAACAATTAGCGTGGATTTGAAATAAATGATCTAAAATTTTAGTAAAACCGGAACCCCATTAGTTCATGTTAGAGATAAAGATAAATCACTGTGTGTTCAGAGATAGAGATAAAATTAGAATTTAAGGACAGTGATCAAGGCTTTTTTAACAGCTAATTTTTAGAGGGATTTTAGGAAACTTAGAGCGGATGGTGAGCCATACGGAGAAATTCAAAATTTAAACATCACAACCCCAAAGTGCCCTTAAGATTACAAGAAGAAAAACTTCTATTTTTCTACTCCCCAAAATATGCAGACTCCTCCCCCAAAATAACATATTTCACATACTATATGCATATTACAACCATTATGAACGCGGAGCACATCAGCATGCTCCCGCTAGAGCACTACTAAACATTAACTCCTTCGAGATTTATTTCAGAATATTTTTTTTTGATTTGAAATTTTGGGATCTACTTAATATGCACTAAAATAATTATTATAAGGGAAAAAAAGAAAAATGGTAAAAATTGGATAGTCCTTGTTTAATCTTGAGACCTTATTGGAATATGAGATTTTTAATTGTATTTTATTTATTTATTATTATTATTATTATATTTATTGGGAGTTGATCGCAAGAGATTACACCCCAAATTTTGGTAGCTCAAATTCTACTGAGGGAGCAAATGGAAAGTATGGTCCTGTAGGAGTAACCTAATCTATTGGCCTGTGGGATTGAGGCAAGTGCGGTTACTAGGACGTGTGATCGGGCGTGTAAAGTTAAAGATGGGACACGTAGGCCCCCTCATGCTCTCATCTAAATTCCTCCTATCTATCTCATTACTCATTATTCATATTTTGCTAAGTATTTATCAATAATCGTTAAACCTTTATCGCTAATCATTTATCTTTTTGCTTTGCTATATATTAAAGTGATCGATCTTCTTGCACAAATAAAGCCTCGCGTCCAAAATTCATCCATATTCTCTCCTTTTCCTCTTAACGAATCTGCCCTTTTTCATGGAACTCTATCATCTATTATAAATCTATTCCTTCGAACCTTGTTATTCTTTTACTCCCATTGTTATGCTTTCATTCCTTTGATCATCATTCATGAATGATCCCTTTTCCTGTTTATCTTTTTCAGTCCTCTCTCTCCCTCTCTCTATTAATAAATCTCTTCCTCTTCCTCTCTAAAAAGTATTCAAGCCGCCTCTTACAATATCTCAACTCTCTTCCTCATTGTGGAACTTTCTCTCTGTGATATTAGAATCTCTCTACTCCTTCTTGCTTTCTCTTTCTGAAACCTCTTGTGGTCCCTTCCTCTCTCTTTTTGGTGGGAAGCCTCTTTGGCAGGAAGAAAGATGTGTCCGGAAGGTCTTCTTTTGAATCACAAAACTGTCCTTCCACCGGAACTGTGGCCGGTGGTAGAGCGGCAGCAACAACAACATGAGGATGCTGCGCAAAATCAACCGGCAACAGCGGAGGCAAAGGTCGAAGAGAAGAAGACGTGGTGCATCTGCTCTCCCACGACGCATCTGGGCTCCTTTCGTTGCAGGTATCATCGCAAGTACTACCAGTGGGGCAGCAAGCGAACCACCGAAGACACAGAACTCCTAGATTAGTAATTTGGTTTGCGGAGGCAGAACGATAATCTTTTTCTTCTTATTCAAAACTTATTTTGTAGCTATGGATGGTCGAGATTGAATGAAGGGTGTGAATATTGGGAAGGGAATAATGTTACCTTTTAATAATAATGAGAAGGGGGATTTGGTAAGTTTATTTGATTCGTTGCTTTTTCATGTAGCTTTTCCTCCTATGGATGTTGATTCCTTTCGCTTGCTTTTCTTGTTTTGATATTCGATATTCTTTTCTAGTAGTGAATATTCTTTTCTAGTAGTTGCTTCCTTTCTTTTTTGACGCTGTATTGTAGCTTTATGGATGGGAGATTGGAAGCTGTAGTGCGCAAAGTCGCATTCCTTGTTTTGTTTTAGGTACACGTTCAAAGCTGGCCCAAAATAATTAGGGCTTGGGACATATAATGTGGCTGGGGCTTGGGACATATGATGTGCCTCGAGGGCATGGGCGTAGTTTGGACCTCTTTGTCTTTTGTTTTAAAAGCTCCTCTCCAAATGAGCTCCTCAATTAGGTCCAATCGGCCTTGCTTCTTTTGACATTGTACTGTGGAGCTTTATAGGTGGGAGGTCGGTAGTTTTAGTGTGCAAAGTCGTTTTCTCATGGACTGGGACTCACACTAATAATATTGCTTCCCTCTCCTTGCAAGTATATTTTTTATATTTTTTTATATTTTATACGGTCCCACCTCACCCAATAATGTCCAAGTGGGGCCAGGTCTGGTCCTTGGACCTTGACCTGCTCCACCAGGTCCAACACGTGGGCCCGGATCCAAACTGAGTATGATGCCAAGGCTCATTGACTAATAATTAATTCTCTATCCACCATGAAATACCCTCAAAACTGGCGTGATACATTACTACGTAATACACTTTGTGTAAATGGATTGTTACTGTTTTGGTAGTATTTAGATGCATGTTTTGGTAGTATTTAGATGCAACGTACTGTTTGGGTAATATTTAGATGCACGACTGTTTGGGAAATCCATTGCTACTATTTGGTTTATGTTGGGAAATGTATTACCAACATTTTAGTTTATATTGGGAAATGCAACATTTTTCCAGCACTTGCCTATAAACTATCATTTTTTTTTTTGCTAC